CAAATCAACAAGAGCCCTCTGTGCCAACATTTCACGAAATGGGGTTCATACAGTTGCAGCACGCCAGTTGGTTGGTGTGCCCCAAGTCTCGGATTCAGCAAATGCTGAAATGCCCAGGGCCTTTGAGTTAGTTAGGCCCTGGGCACCCGAACGTGAGGCCGACAATGCATGCTGGGTAGAGAGGCCGAAAATGCCAAAGGGAAATCGGTCCACTATCTGAATCTGGCCACAGGCCTTGATGAAAGAGGCGCAACTGCATTGCCCGGGGCCCAACTGTATCGAATTGGCTTTAGCCTTTGGGTCCCGGTCACAGGCTGAAGGGAGGCCACCCACATGCTGCATTGGCACATAGGCAAGCCGGGCGAGGCAGCAGGAATCTTGGCCAATGCTGGCACTTGCGGGCACGCTGCACGGATGCATGTGTGCTGTGCTGTGCAAAGCAGTGCTGCGCTAAGAGCAAGCAGGCCAGCGCTGCGGTAGGGCGCTGCCTGCATGCAAGGCACTGGCGGCCATAGCCGGGCCGCATGAGGGTGTAGGAGAGGTGAAGGGCGAAGGTGGTCTTCGGAGGTGAAGGGCGTTGTGTGGGTACAAGGGAGAGTGTGGGGAAGAGGACACGTACCTGGTGATGGTGGAATACGGCATTGGTGTTGACATCATCACTCGCTGGTAGTCAAGTTGTCTGGTTGCTGTTCATTGCTGTAGTTGTAGGATAGGCTGTAGAGTAGATAGGGCGCCAGGCGCCATTCACAAGAGAGAGCTACATTTGGGTTATGCTGTTGGTGTTGCCCTGTTGGGCATGGACATTGACTCATGATTCTTCTGTATCATTCTCAATTGGATGGTTACATTTGGGTTATGCTGTTGGTGTTGCCCTGTTGGGCTTTGGCTTTGAATACTGAGACTTCAGTGTGATTTTGCATTCTGGATTTCTGTGCTTCGTCCATACTCATGTTTGGCTTTGAATACTTAGACTTCAGTGTGATTTTGCATTCTGGATTTCTGTGCTTCGTCCATACTCATGTTCCTTGCATATATGTATCCTTTCTGAAAGTCATTTGTAAAAAACAGTGGCTTGTTTATTGCATCGAAATCTTGTGGCTTTTCCTAGGACACATTACACGGTCCCAGTAGGGCTGTGAGTGAGAGTTTTCCCAGTCCAACCCCATACGACTACCCTCTAAGGTAAGCAGTGAGAGAAGG